AATCTGGTAAAATTCTAAGAGTGGGATGAGCCTGAAAGCACACCATTGCCAGTAATGGGGAATGCCTATTGCAGCAAGTAGCTACCTGTACCAGCAAGTATTGCAACTCTGCCTGAATTCAAATTCTTTTCTGTTGTAGGCTATCAGTTGCCAGCCATGTAGTCAGGCTGTTGAAATGGTTCAATTGCTACTCAGAGTGGGACTATGAGATGTGTCTTTACCACAAACACATCTTCACAAGGCATCAGACCAAGACTGAGCTCTCAAAATCTCCTCATCTTGAATCCTCTAAACTTATCAACACCACAATACCTCCACAAGTGATCAGTTGATCAAATTAATGCTACATACAGTAAATTTGAATACTTACCCATGTACATAGAACAGAGCATACACCAGTTTTGGGTCTTGAAGGAAGTGATCATCAATTGTCAAAACTGAAGAAAATGCATGAAATATAACTAAGGATACATTAAATCATTTTTTTTTTCTAAAAAAATGAATCACTTGATGAGTGACCCAGCAGAAAACAGGGTTCAAATCATTTTTTTAAAACCTCAACCACCCATTACATGATGCTCTATACCAGCATGTACAAACTTTCCACTTCTAAGCAAAATACTGGAGGAGAAGATATTTAAGTACTATCTGATTAGAGATTGGCAAACAATAGGCCCTTTGCAGGATCCGGTCACATGGTACGGAATTAATTATGCTGGGACGCAAGTTAGGCAGTGGGACTTCCAAAACGAAGGAACTTGTACCAGTCCAGCCCGACTTTCCTTTGTTTCGGAAGTCCCACTGTGTAACTTGCGCCCCAGCGTAATTAATTCAGTACCATGTGACCGGATGCTGCAAAGGGCCTATTGTAGCTTCACACAAACTTATAATATTCAACCTTATACTTATGTTGTGGTAGACACAAAATATGAATGGATTACAGGGAGAAATTAAAATAATAAAAGGCATGCTTATTTCCCAGATATCAAAACTAAACTAATGCACATGTACAGTCTGTAAAAGAATGCATTTCACAGACTATGGCAAGTGCAGACATTTCAAACACGTTATTCTAAGCAAAATTGATCAAAAACC